TGGCTTCTATAGTATAATATTTATATATCTTTATATATAAATTTATTAGTAATATATATAAGGGAAATGAAATAGTATTTAGTATTTCCTCTTCTTATATAGGTTCACTTTATAGAATATATATTCTTTTATTAACCGGTTTGCTCTCTCTTTTATAGCTTTTTTAAGGACCTTTTAGTACCTTTATTTATATAAATACTATATATATATATCTCTAGTATACTTTTCCTAATAGTATAAATACTAGAGATTAGAATTAAATACTCTCTTATTCTCTAATTCTATCTGCAAGCCCTATAGCTTTACCTTTTCAGAATACCCTAAAAGCTTATAATAAAGCTCGACTCTAAATTACAAGTATATAAGAGAATGCCCTTATTTTATATATAATTAATATAGCCTATATCTATTAATACAGGCTATATTAATTAGCTAGTAAAATAAGGGCTACTAGTTCCTAAAGATAGCCCTATAGGTTTTATATATCTTCCTGAATTAATTTATAAGGTCTATATCTCTTATATTCTAATTATAATTATTAATAAAGCAAGAAATTAGAAGCTTCTTTATTAGTAAATTACTAAAAAATATCTCGTATAATTTGCCTATTTATAAATGTCTTTATAGGACGTCTCTTTTCCTTAATATAAAAGCCTTTTACTTTATTTATAATATAAATATTACTTAAAGCTAGGATAATACTATTATTCTATTAAGCTAAATAAAATATATTCTAAACTACTATAATAAGAAGTATATTTTATTCTAGTTTCTTTGCAAATCGATTTTTAATTACTAATAAATTAGAAGGAAATAGCTTATATAGGCAGATAGTACCTATAATACCAAATTTATAAGTTTATAGCTCTAAAAATAAAGATATAAAAGTAAAGTAATTATCGAGATATATTATTAAATAATAATATAAGAGGGAAAGTACTAGGTTTTATATAAGAGAACTAGTATTTATAAAAATAAAATAAAGAACTATTTTTTATAATTCTTTCTTTCTAGAGCTTTAAGTCTAATTATATATATATCCGTAATTTGCAAGTCTATAAATCTTATACTTTTATTTAATTAGCTTCTTGGGTATCTTATATATATATAAGAATCTAGAATAATTAGTAAAGTAGTAAAATAAAGAAATAGCAGAATAAAAATTAAAGAAATATATCTTTTAAAGTACTAAACTATAAGCTTATTAATACTTACTTTAGATAAAGGCAAGTAATATTATTAAGAGAAAGCTTGAATAGAGGAAGTAAGAGGTTTAAGCTTATATTACTAGACCTTATTAGAAGATAAGTAATTTCTATTCTGTTTATTATTTATAAGGCACGAAATATAGTAATACTACTTGATTTACTTAAAGTAATTACATAATATATAGCTTGTAATTAAGTATAAAAAACCATTATTAAAGTCTGAATTCTAGTATATCTTAATTTAAGGCTTAGTATAGACTCCTATATATATAATAGTACCAAGAAATATATATAACTCCTCTACTAGTAAATCTAACTATTCCCGGGCCCTTTCCTCTACTATATATATTCTTTATAGGCTCGTATATTAATTAGTATTCGTAGTAATTATATAAAAGAGCTCGGAAGTAAAGAATAGGCTAAAGTAATCGAATAGATATAGTTTTAGAGAGAAGGTAGGAGATAGAATCGCTTATATAAACTGCTTAGGTTCGGGCTAAAAAGGCTTAAAATGGACGTCTGTAATTAGTATAACGGCAGGAATAGAGTAATGGAACGAGGCTCAAAGATTAATGATTTCCTATATCTTGAGAATTTAAAGCTAAGGAGAAAGGAGTGAGGTGTGGCAGTAGATAAGTAGATATAGCCAAGACCACTGAAACGCCGAGCTTTGGAAGCGAGCTTGATTTGAACTATAGCTTGGAACCTTAGCTAAAACCAACCCCTTTGGCTAAAACCACGTCCGTATTAACCATGTAACACCAGCCGTTATAATTAGTCCAAGTCTAAGAAGTATATTTTCAAGTAATTGAGGGTATTTTCCACCTATAGGCCCTAAAGATAGGCTAGAAAATAGGCTAGAAGAATTGCTTATTATATATATATATAAGTAGTAGAACTTCTAGATATAATTTCATTTATATAATATAAATTACTAATAAATTTATATATAAAGATATATAAATATTATATTATAGAAGCCAAGCAAGCCTCTTTTATAATACGGGAAGTATACTCTTACTAGTATAAATAGTTAATAGCAGATAAAAGAATAGAGTAAGAGAGAAAGAATATTAAGACAGATAATAAGAATAAAGCTCGAATAATTAATATAAGGCATACTAGACTAAATAAGCCTTAAAAAAATAAGTATAAAAAATAATATAAAGATTTAAAGCTAATTACTAGAATATAATTAATTAGAAAATAAAGGCTACTAATTATAATTTATAGGGAAAATAGGGGTTATAATAGGCTAAAACTCTATAATTCTATATATATAGCAAAAAATTTATATATTACTAGGTTTTATATATTACTTTCTTTTATCTAATAAATATATTTAGTAAGAACTAGATAAGCCCGGTTAAATAAATAATAGAAGTAAAATAAATAGTTATATAAAGTAACTCGAAAATTAAAACCTTTAAGAAAACTTATATAAGTTATATATAACTAGAGATAATACTTTATATTATAACTCGAATATATTATATAAAGTATATAATTATAGTTTCTAAATACTTTATTTAATATATTAGTCCGATATAAAATATATTATATCTAATTTAAAAGTAATATAGTCTTTTAGTAATTTTAAATCTTTATAATAAGAAACTTTCTATTATTAATACTTTTATTACTAGGGAATTAATTACTATTTAATAAGCTAATATACTAGCTAATATTTAGTAAAGCTTTTAAAAGAAAATAGAAATTTATAGAGCCTTTAATAAAATTTTAGTATATAAAAACAGATTTATATTTAAGGCTATTCTAGAGATTTAGAGTATAATTTAAAATATACTTTAGGGCTTATAGAAGTTGTAGAAAAGAATTAGTACTAATTTTCAGGGCTTTTAGAGCTTTCTAAATTAGTATAATAACTTGAATTTTCGGGTATTTGAAAATAATTATTAGAACTATATATTTAAATTATACTTTCCTTTATATATAAATTATATTATATTTATATTTATTTTATATAAACTTAAATATATTATATAATATAAAATATATAAAATATAAAGTTTACTATTTCTATATATAATTATATAAGATAAAATAAATATTTAGTTTATTTATATCTTTTATTAATATAGTTAATAATAATTAAGAAAAGTAAAACTATAGAGAAAAAGAACTATTCTGAATTTAAATAATATATATATTTTATATTATAAGAAAAGTTTCTTATTTCTTAAATATAAAAATAAAGAAATAGATATTAGATAAATATTTATCTAATTAAGGCCTTCGGGTAATTACTTATTTAATAAGCTTAATATTAATATATTTATAAATTATAGGCTTTAAGCAAATATATAACTATTGCAATTTTATATAATTATAGTATTTAATTAGAAGTAACTCATTTAAATTATTTTATAAATATATAAATCTAATACTTTTATTTATTTATTAAATTATTAATTTGTTTTTATAAAATTGTATTTTATTTCTCTTTTATTATAGCTTATATCTCTTTCTTATTTATTAATTAATACCTCTAGTAATATAATTTTTGCTTTATCTAATACTAGTATTTCTTAATAGAATTTATATTAGATAAAATTAATAGATAAGATATAAGAATAATTCCGTAAGCTATTTTCTATTTTATATAGCAATTTCGCTCAGATTTATATTTATAAATAAAGTTATTATTTTCTATTAAAAGAGGCTCTATTATAAGATTGAGTTAGTAAGTAATTATTGCGAAATTATTTATAAAATTCTGGATATATAGTATAAGGATTTATATTAGATAATTGGCTTAAATAAAGGCTTCTAATTTATTAAAACTCTAAATAAATAGTAAGGAACTCTTATAACTATATTTAATTACATTTCATATATTAATAGAAGTTATATAGCTTTAATAAAACTAGTACTAAATATATATAAGATAAGTTTATTTCCTTCTTTTTCTTATTACTTTTTTCTTTACTATTTTTTTCTAATTAAAAATATAACCTTATCTAATTAGAGAATCTTTCTCTATTTCAAATACTAAAATATATATATTATTATCTAAAGGAATTATATATAAACTTGGTTAGTAATAAGATAGGGCTTTTAGTAAGTAATATATCTGAAATACCTTTATTACTTAAGCTAGTATACAAGTATTTAAGGCCTAATTTATTATATAACCCCATCTAATCCAAGATCCGCTACCTATATATCTCGCTTAATTACTTAATTATCCAATTAACTTGTGTATTATTAAGTAAATAAGGCCTGCTAATATAATTAGAATATATGCGAGTAATTTAATTATAGTAAAGAATATAATTTATTATTAATTCGCTTATATAATATAGAACTGCAAGGTGAGCAGGTATAAACTTGGCTTATTTATAAAGCTGGCGAATAGCCTCTTTGTACTTAGTAAGTATCTCTTTACCAGGAATATAATTGCGTATAGGAAGGGTGGTTAGAGGGTCTATTTTGAGTGTGTTTTTGGATAGTTGTGTGCGCTCGCTTAGGCCCTATAATCCACAGACATATCGATACCAGGCTCGTAAGGCATCACCTATCGGCTCGGTAAAAGCAGCGTGTTCGGGTGGGCCTCGGGAAATGTGTTCGCACAATTTTGCAATACTGAGGCGCCAATCCGATCCCAAGTCAGGACTCTTCTAGCGCTATTGGATAAGCCACTAATTACGGAAATGGCAGATCTGGCGCCGTGGCTTGCCTTGGGCACCAATTTTGTTGCAGCCTAAACCTTCTTGGGCACCAAATTCTACTGATTGTTGCACCCAAACAAAATCAAAAGAAGGATACTGAAACGCAAATCACGATTTTCTTTCCATCCCTCCTCGACCAAGCATCTAACCATCAAAACAATCACTTCTTCCGCACAATGGCAAGTTTCGAGAGAGCTTCTATTAATTATTTTCGATTCTAAGGTCTTTTAATCTTGCAACAGGTCCCTCGGCCGATCCGCAAATATTCTTGGACTTGGAAATGTGTTCGTCAAACCGAGACCTTCAACAATAATCGGGTTTCTAGATTCTAACTTTTCAATTTAGTGCTCTTGCGAAACTGCTGGAATTTCCATAGAAGAGGATTTGTGTTCCAACTGTGCAAACCCCCGATGTGCATCCTGTCAAATTACGAAGAAACACAAACCCCATCGAGAAACTTGAGTCGCAATTTCCAAGATTTAAGGAGAACTGATACCCCTCACAAATCTAACGAACATGCGGCTTATCTCTACATCCACGCTGACGATATGCGAGTTCGTTGGATCAAGCACACCTCCCTATGGCCTCCTTTCTCATACATGGGAAGAAGGCGAAGTTTCATACCAGGAAATGATGGCAGGATCAGCAAGAACAAAGAGAGGCTACAGTAAAATTGAGATGGCGTGCAAGTTGGCCAAGGTAGAGGGTATCGCATATGTATGGGTGGATACCTGCTGCATCGATAAATCCAGCAGCGTCGAACTCTCCGAAGCCATTAATTCTATGTTTCAATGGTACAAAGATTCTCTTATCTGTTATGCCTATCTATCCGACTTGAGACCTTTTACGGATCTTTCGAGGACACTGAAGAGTTGTCGTTGGTTCACCCGAGGATGGACACTGCAAGAGCTGATTGCGCCGACGAACATTAACTTTTTCGACCAAAATTGGGGCTTCATAGGTAACAAAAAAGATCTCATGGAGGAAGTATCTTCAATTACAGGCATTGGTGTACTGGTTTTGAATCATACCACGCCTTTGTCTTCTGTTACCGTCGCCACGAGAATGTCATGGGCATCGTACAGACAAACTACTAGGGAGGAAGATATGGCCTACTGTCTGCTTGGGATATTCAGCGTCAACATGCCGTTGATATATGGAGAGGGCTCAAAGGCGTTTACACGCCTCCAGGAAGAGATCATCAGGAGCATTTGCGACCTTAGCATTTTCGCCTGGAAGGCGGTGCCAGACCAGGATGAACGACACAGCCGTCGATATTCGGGAGCTCTTGCCAAATCCCCGAAGCTATTTTCCAGTTGCAGACATATAATCCGATCGAAAGAGACCCGATTTCACGCTGACTTTTCTGTCACAAACCGGGGTATCCGAATGCCAGCGGGCCTAATCGGATTGTCAATCAAAAATTCACAAGGCTGCCATTATGTCTTATGTCTCGACTGCTCTACTGAAGGTCAGAGCAACTCCAGCCTTGCTATCTATCTGAGAAAATGCGGTGCGGACTTGTTCATTCGGGACCACCCGTCGTCGCTTGCGACTGTTACTCCAGAATCTGGCAACCGGTACCGCTTCAGAACGATATACATTCTTTCAAAACTCCCCGAAAGCCCATGTCCTCTTCAAGACGGATTTCCAAGTCCTGATGATGATCTTGTTATTAGTAGGCGTGTCTCTGCCATACGAATTTGTCTTCCACCCGGCTTAGTGGTTTACAATGCCAACCCGCCGAGCCATCGTGACAGCCAAGATGAAGTGTTCTTTAGCACAGAAAGTACACACGACGGTTGGTGTGCTATAACCATTGAAGGAACCCTTCGGTTGGATGGACAGCACGTCCCTGTATCATGCTTCTTTGCTTGTTTCGGCTGGAATTGCCGGCAAAAGTACCTAGTGAGCACTCTGGTCAACCTGTCGACATGTGATCCAATTTCAATCAATCGTCTTGTATCAGAACTGGAGCGTGAACAGAACGATTTCATACCTTGGGCTCTGGAAGACTTGGAATATTTCGGCATTCCACTGCAGGGCTTTGTAACATTGGAAGCGGCTGGGCACACTTTCAAGTTGTCGCACATCGCCAAGAAGGTTTTCGTACCGACAATATGTAAAAGTGAGATGTACCAGGTGGAAATATTCTTGGATTGATTTACTCAGACTTTCCATGGGCAAAAGCCACCACGCGGACGAGTATTTGGCGTCCCGCAGCTCTTCCTCCCCAATATCTCAATGATTGCTCTTGACGTCGTCTTCGTTCGCCTCAAAGTTCGTGAAAGTCTCGTCTTTAGAAGAATATTTGCCTTGGTACTCTGCGATTTTGCCTGCTTTGGATGGCTCTTAGAGTGTGGCAATGTGAGCATTTGCAGAGGTGGGGGTTGGGGTGAGATGAAGCTGAAGACTTGTCAATCTTTTCAAGAAAATATTCGGTCTCGAGATTCATTTATACTATGAGGGACGGGGATAGTGTGGTGGAAGACACCATCTAGTTAAAAGCATCTCTTCTGGATTCCGAATTTTTTTAGGAAACCTACCTTAACTTCTCCACAGTGTATCAAATGATTAGATTAGATTAGATTAATGGGCATTAATCTAATCTAATCAAGGAAATTTACCATTAATCATATTCTAATTATAATCTAATCAGATTAATCGATTATTAATTAATTAATTTAATTAATGAAGCACGTGACTAGACACGTGATGGCGCTAGCCGCATCGGGAGCGCGCTTTACTATATTAGGGCTACGGCCACCTAGCGGCGGCCTGGGCCGCAGCTTACAAAGCTAAGCGAAGTATCCAGAACCTCCTCGATTTTTCGGTACTTCTACTCCCCTGTAAATCATATTAATTAGAAATAAAATAATTAGAAATCAGCCTTTATTAATAATAAATGCTTTGAAATCACTAGATAATTTCTAATCAGAAGAAATATTAAGAATCTTTTAAAATTAAAAGTTTCTCTATATAAAAAGCTTATTTTCCTTAATAATTTTTCTAATATTTAAACTTCAAATATTAATATTAAACCAACTACTATACCTATTAAAAAGCTTTTAACTATAGAGTTACTTTATTTTACTTGATATATTCGAAAATGTCTCAATAATCCTTAATTAAAATTAACTTAACTCAAAATCGAGATAATTTTGAACTTAAATTATTCGAGAAATAATCTTCTCTCTATTAATTTAAATATCTTTAAAAGATATTAGATCCTTTCCAAGAAAATTCCGAAGATATTCGAATATATACTATTAAGTACTTAGTTCGAGGGTATAGGTAAGTAATTATTATAATTTAATTTTAAATTTTAAATAATTTTATATTAGAGAAATCTGGCTTAAATAATAAATCTATAGCTCTATAAGTAATTATTATATCCATTTTCAATATTTTTATAAGTCTATAAGCCTTTTAAGTTTAAATGCCGGTAAAATTAATAGTAAGTTAATTAATTTAACTAATATATATATTAGGTAAAAGCGAGATATTAAGCCAGTCTAATTAATCTAGTTAGCTTATTATAGGCTAGCTATTTAATAAAAATACCGGCTAATGCGAAGAAAGCTTTACTATTAATTACTTTAAAAGATTACTATTAAATTTTATTATTTCTAATAATATATATTTTTAGAGCTATTACTACTTCTAGCTTTAAAAAGCTTTTAACTTATTTAAATTAGTAAATATTCTAATTAACCTTATTTATTTAATACTAATATATTACTAGTCAAATACTGCCTTTATATACTAAGGTTCTTATAAATAAATTAGAATTAAGATATATTTAAAAAAGCTTATTAATTAAAGAAGAATTACTTAAGAATATAAAACTCAAGAAATCTTTTCTATTACTTTAAATACTTGGACAAGTATAAATTAAAAGCCTTTTCTTAGAATTATTTTATAAGTTAATATTCTTTTAATTATTAAAGAAAAATATTAATAATTATTTAGATATTTTATAAATAATAATTTTAAATTAAAATCTTATTTACTAGCTATACGAGATTTAAGGAATATTATTTACTCAGATATCTATATACTTTCTGCTCTCTTAGATATTTTAAAAGAATATAATATTAAATATAATATAACTAGGTAAGTAATTTTAATTTTAAATTAGTATTACTCGAGATAATACTAGCTTAAATAATACCTTATTAAAGACTTTTATAAAGTATTATAATAAGAAAAGTATTAAATTTCAAGGAGATATTTCTTATATAGCTTATGTTTTAAATTTAGTAGTTTAAGATATTTTAAAAGCTCTTATTAAGAATAATTATAATACCTCTTATTTTATAGATTTATACGAGCAAGAAATAGAAGAACTCGAAGATAGAAAAAAAAAAGAAGGAGAGAAGAGGGAGAATAAGTAATAAGTAAATTTCCTATATAATTTATAAAAGTTTTATTAATTTAAAGAAAGATTTAAAAAACTATTATAGGTCTTAAATATAACTAAGAAAACCGACGGCTATTAGAAGCTTAAATTAAAGCTTTTAATATAGAAAATACTCGATTTCTATAATTTAGTAAATAATTAATTTTTTAATTTTTTTAATTTTTAATTTTTAATTATTTATAGATTAAAAAACACGGTGGTTTTCGACTTATTATATATTAAAGAACTTTTTATATATATATAAAGCTATTAAAATAGTTATTAATAGCTCTAATTTAAAAGCTTTTAAAAATAAAAGTCTAGTTTTAACTAATATTAAAATTACTTATTTAAATAATATTTTAAATATAATTTCAATATTTATTAAAGCTATAACTAAGTTATAAGCCGAAAATTATCCGACTATATATTATATTATATTTGAGGTATATAAAATATATAATAAATTCGAAAATTTTAAAAAGAAATTTAAAGTAAATCTTTTCTTAAATTATTCTTATATTATTAATAATATTATACTAATCTTTAATAGAATAAAGTATTTATAGATGTAATAGATAAAAGTATAGCTAAACTTCGAAAATATTATTCTAAAACAGGTATTTTAAATAATAAAAATAAAGCTTTATACTTAGCTTTTATTCTTAATTCTCGAATTAAATAAGAAGAATTAACTAGTATTGGCTTATCTAATAGTATATCTTCGGATATATATAATAAATTAAAGACCGATTATAATATATAAGTAATTTCTTTAACTATTTTTTTAATAAATTAATAACTAATTTCATATTTAAATATAAATATAATTATAATTCATTTTATACTAGATCCGATTCCTCAGATATTAATATAGCCAATTCCAACGAAAATAATTTAGATATATATATTACTAATAAGCCTTCTAATATAGAAAACGAATTAGTAACTTATTTAAAAGAAAGGAGAGAGAATAGAAAAGTAAGTAAAACTCACTTAAATTTTATTAAATAATTACCCGATATTTCCTTAATATTTTTAATATATTAGTACTAATATAGATATAGATTAAGCTATTAGCTTATTAGAAGTCTAATACTGCTAGATTTCCTATTTTAGCTTTAATAGCTAGGAAATATTTAGGAATTCCGGCTTCTTTAGCTACTAGTGAGAGGTTCTTTTCTTAAGGCGCTCTTATTATATCTAAATTACGAAATAGACTTAATAAGAGTACCTTTAAAAATATATCTTATTTAAAGAGCTGGGGTATATTTAAAGATAAATTAGAAGAAGCTAAAAAAGAAAAGAAAAAGGAGGCAAATCAGGTTTTAGAAGAGGATAATTAGTTTATTATTATAGAAAAGAAGTAATTAGTTAGTTCTTAGCTTAATTTAGATTTTTTATTATAATATTATTAGTTAGTTATAAGGTTATTTAATAATTAATAAGTAAAAGTAAAGAGAAAAGTAAAAAAAGTCAAGAAACTCTATTATTATATAATTAATTAAGTATTAATTAGATTAATTAAGATTAATGAATTTAATCTAATTTAAAAAAATCTGAATTACGTTAATTATAATTTAATTACATTAATTAATTAATTAATTTAATTAACGTAATTAATCTTTTAATATACTAAATACTACTAATATTTATAAACTTTTTTTAATTTAAATATTTTTATATAATATAAAGAAAATACTAATTAATCTAGTAATTAAAATAGGCTATATAAGCTTATAGTAATAAACGGGAAGTCTTATATATTAGTTCTACTATATAGTAATATTATCTTTTATTTAAGCTTTATAAAGCCCTTTTATATAAGAGATATTAAGGTTATTACTAATAACCCCAAACCTGAATTTGTTTTCGAACTTTATAATAAAACTAAAAGTAATACAGGTATAATTTCTTCTACTATTTCTGCTATTCTATTAAAGTATAGTAGAAGACACTCTTATAAAAACCCTAATATTATAGTATTTCTATAAAATAATAACCTATATAAGAATTCCTATTAAATTAAAGTTACTAGCCTTTTAGAAAAGAATATATTTAAGGTTATTTCCAGATTTCAGATACTAAAAGAAATATATATCTTTAATTTCTGATTTATTAATAAGAGTAAAAATAAGAATACGGAAAGAGAACTTAAAAAGTCGAGACTAGTTATTTAAGCTTATAATAATAGTAAGAAATATATAGTATTAATATAATTACTAATTATCTAATATATTAGCCAGAGAATTATTCTTTATATTATTACTATAACTATAGAAACTATAAAGCTATATTTATAAAATATATTATAAGCTTATATCTAATAAATAACTTTACTTAATTATAATTTCTATATTAACTCATTTTATAAGCTTATTAAAGAGCTAAATCTAAAAAACAATTCTATTCTAAAGGTTATAAAACTATTATATAATATACTAAAATCTAGAAACTATTAATTTAAAACTGACTATTTCCATTATATTAATAAGCTTTTTATAAAACAATTAACTTATAACTCTTGTCTTTTCTATAATAAGTAATTTTTCGAAATTATTAGTCTTTAAACTAATAATATTCTATTTATTAGAACTAATAATTTTATAAAAGCAAAATAGTTAAAGCTTTAAAAGACTAAGTTTTTAGCTAAGAAATATAAATACCTTATTTTTAATTATAATTTCAAGTTTAATAAAGGTATTATTTATATAGAAACTACTAGAATTACTCTTATATAAAAACGCTAGTATATAAATCTCAGAATTATATTAATTAAGAATATTATTACTATAAGTAATAGAAGTATTATATATTAAAATCTCTTTATTAAGAATTAATATATTATTTAATATACTAGAGAAATATATATTATATTAGTTTATTAACTATAAGCTTTATATAATCTATTAATTATTACTCAAGCTATTAAATCTTTAAAAACTAATATTAAGGCATTTAATAAATACATTTAATAGTAAATTAAAAATATTACTAGGGAATTAAGATTTATAAAGCTAATAAAGAAATTCTTATATTTAATTATTTTTATAAATAATTAAAATCTCTTTTCCTAAATCAGATATATTCTAGTTTTAATAAATAGAACTAAATATA